CACACTCTCTCATTTTCTTAGATTTCAGATTCGCCAGTTGTTTCATTTGCCGTTACAGCGGTCTCATTATGGGTGGTTACGGCTGCCAGTGAAGTGTATTTATACGCGAGGAACGGAACAGAACCAGTTGTTGGAACGGACTGTACATGGATTCACGTGAAAACCATGCTCGGATGCACGGTTGATAAGGTCAGCAAATTTATGTATTGTGTGTTTGTCACGATTGCAAATTTTTCCTCACCCATGTTTTTGATTTATGCTTATGTGGCTTATTTTAGGTACTACGGTTCCTTTTTCCAGTTTTTTTTTTGTTTTTTTTTTTTCTTTTGAAAAGCAATTTTCTTTTCTGACTATTTATTATTATTATTATTATTAGATAAATTGTTTCAAATAATTGTCCCTGTGCTGAAACTTCATCTAATAATAATATACAGATTCGTGCATCTTCAAATGGCGCATATGTTTGGATCTTTTCAAGCACTACCGGACGTGCATGGGCTCGGTCTTTTGTCAACGATTCATCCCGTTCTGGAAAATCGTGGATAGAGGTTAGTTGTGAATTATTTGTTGCAGATTTGAAGGGAATAATGGTGAAGGTGGAGGTGAAAAATCGATGATTTTAAAGTCTGTGGAATTTAAAAAGAAGTTTTCAGACGAGCAACGATCCAGGTGTTTGCGAATTGGCTGTTGGATGTAAGGTAATTTGGTCGCTTTCCTCCTCCGGTCAGCTTTACAGGCTACAAGGTCTTGCAATTGGTAACCCAGCTGGTAACTACTGGAAACCGGTACCGATATTTCTGAAAACGATAGCGGTCGATCGGAAAGACCGATTATGGGGTATTGACATGGACAAACGATTGGTATCTCACACAGTAAGCTCAAAATTTCCTTTCTAATAGTTGAGCTGTTTCAGTGTTTGAATATAGGTCCTGTTTGTTTTACTTCAATTTTCAGATTTTGCATATATCCGCTTGAGCTGCTTTTTTGTTTTTGCCGATGGCATACATGAATTCCCAAGTGTTCGTGATTTTAAGTTTTTTTTTTATAGGTTGAGCTGTATCCTCCTTCTGCTCCTCATTCGAGTGGTCGTCATTCCTTAAACAGTTCTCTCCAGCATGGTAGCAACAGTTGTGAAGAAGTTGATTACATAAAATTTTAATTGTGCCTTTTTGCGAAGTTATTC